GCCAGTGCTTTTTGTCTCACACTTTACATAACTTTTTTGTTTGTAAATCTTTGGATGTGCAGTAATGTCCATAAAACAACCAGTCAGATCAGCGGTGGTCAGTCTTCGTCTTGGAGTACCACTATCCTGTGCAAGTAGGCAGCTTCAAGCTATGCAACTCAACGCTAGCGCCACCTCAGAACTTTGGTGGAAAGTCCGTGCTCTTGTAACATCAAATGTGCAATAGTTTAGCTCGAACACAAACCCAAACATAGCTGCCCGTTGTTTCTGTAATAGTCCTTAAGATGGATCAGGTCCAAAGCACCCTAAAAACACTCAGCAAACCATCTTTGTTAACTTTGTTAACTTTGTTTGTTGTGAAATCTTCAAAAGCAGATGTATAGTCTGGTTTGATGGAACTGTTTTCCCATTGCAAGAAGTGATGTTAATTTTGGGGGCCCTTGTAGCCACGCTAACTTACAGGCAACATGCTTGGATAATGTTGATGGTCGCCTCCTACTTTCAGCTCTCGTTAGATTAGTTTATAAATTTCATGCTTAGTTTGTTCCCATGCTAATATGTCTATGTTCCCACCAACACTTAGCCCAAAATTTGTCCTGGTTGGTTGTCCTCAGATGTGATCACGTCTGGCCAAGCAAGACTACCACCATGGCTGACCACCAGTTTTACAAGTGTCTCGTAAAGAAGTGGTTCACTTGTGTAAACATATCTATCATCACTGGGACAAAACTTTGTATGTTTTTGATTTAACATAATCTGAAAATTTGCTCTTTATATTGTGTTAATGTATCATGATGAATGGGCCAATAGAAACTATTCAAATTTATTTGAAAAAAAAATCTTCTTCCATTGACTTCCTTTTATAGTTAGGAAGATATTTTTAACTATTTTAGAGATAAGAAACATGATCACCTCTAACAACAGAACAAGTAAAGCAGCACATAATTCTCTACTGACAATATATTTAGTTATTGTAGATGTTGGGATAACAGTACATCCTGTTTACAGAATCTGGTTTGTCACCCCCTTGTGGAACCAGCACAGGACTGTAAGTTTGCAATGTGTTTCTGGCCTCAGTGTTTTTTCTGCTTCAACACACCTGATTCAACTCTTCAGCTCATTAGCATGACACTAAAAATATGACAAAAAATGCGACACTGTGTTGCTCCAGGACGAAGACTGAGAGATGCTGGTTTAAGACAAACAGAAAAGGACATATGAACTGGGAAAGAAACCCGAAACCACCATACGCTCCTGTTTTTTGGTTAGTCTGTGGGGTGAATGCTCTCCGGAAGTGTGTGTTTGTGTTTCCGGGGGCAGCGCAAGAGGCGCCGCCGCGTCTGGCAGTGTTTACGGCACAGAACGGAGTGCCAGCCGAGACACGGAGCGAGAGAATTCCCAATCACACACACACCTCCGGCATGTCTGCACTTCCGACGTCCAACTTCCAACGGAAGGCCATAACATAAAAACAGAACGTCTTGTTTTTTGTTTTGTTTCTTTTTTTTGGTCTTGTTTGTTTTTCTTTTTCTTCTTTTTTTCTCAAAAAACCTACTATATACAAATCTATATTTTCTACAAATACATAAATTAAGCAATACAAAAACTCAATTAAATTAAAGGAAATCACAAACACAGAAACAGAGAAAAGAGAAAAATAGAAACACAGCATCACAGCAGTTGGTTTTACCCTGTAAAAAAAGAATAGTCTACCATCCTTATCGCATCGGAATAACACAACGTCGTAATAAAAAATACGCTTCTGTTATTTTTTTTTTCCTCTCTGCAAGTTTCCAAACTCACAGTCTTGAAGAAACTTGCCTTTGGTGACAAAAAAAACCCCAAAAAAACAAACACTTGAGCCAAAACCTTCAAAATAAATACTTTTTTTTTGAAGTAACGTCAACAATTACCAAACTAAGTTCTGCCTCAATCACATAGACTCTCTATACAACAGAACTGTAAGAATTTATTACTATGAGGTATTCAGAGACATTGGTAAAAGACATACACGGCCCAAAAAACAGTGGACACGCCTACCAAGGTGATGTGAACAACGGAGGGGCGGGGCTAGTGGTAGATTGTGTGTTTGGGGGAGGGGCTTAATGTAGGGGGGTGAAGAGGGAGGAGCTTTGGTTTATCAGCAAAAAGAGGTGGAAAAAGAAACAATTCCTTTGGTATGTTTTCATTGCATGGCTGCACTGGCGAAAGCACCACGGTGAGAGAGAATAACTCCGTTTTTTAATCTTCGTCGGTGGCCCTTCTAGAGGCTGAGGTATTCCAAGAAGTACAAGGTGAAAGTAGAGAGGTCAACAGCGGTTTAACACTTTGGTTCAAGCAAGGCACTCGTCCTGTGAGTTCAACAAAGTCTGCGGCGGGTCTGCAGAGGGCGCTGTCACACGAGCACGGATGAGAATGGGACCATGCTGAGCAATACGGAAGGATGGAGGGAGGAAAGAGGGCAGGTTGGGGAGGGGGTCATCACACCATCTATTTATCCACCACTTCATTCATATAGGCCGTGCAAAAAGAGAAAAAACATCTTTGGTATTCTTTGGTATCATTAATGTGATAGAAATCACCAATGGAAACTGAGTGAGGTAGCATCTTTGGTTCGCACTATAAATATCAGTAGGTCTTAACACACGTTTTGTCTTTTTTTGTCTTTTTTGTCTTTTTTCTTCGTCTTTTCTATGTGAGGAAGAAGCAGCATTCTCTTCTCTTTGCTTCGTCAATGTAATACTCATAAATAGTTACCGAATATACTTCTTTTTTTTGCTTTTTGTAAAGCTAACCACACCACAAGAGACAACAAGGCCAGAAATCTTGTGACAGTTGGAGTGGCACCCACCAACTGGGCTTCTCCAGACCAAATGCACCACTCTCGATGAGAAACCACGAAGGTCGTAGTGCTTTCTTCCAAACTGTATAATGCATAGAATCTAGTTTTTCAGTTTTTCCCTTCACTTGGCCAGCCTGAAGCCATGTGCATTCTTCATACTTCCAGTCATTGAAGCTTTGAATGAAATGCTGTATTGTGTAATGGTACGGCCCACTTCTGACACCACTTTAACTATTGAAAGTGAGCAATGTAAAAAAACTTTTGTGTGGAGTAAGTGAATACATCTGCCAAGAATTTATGGAAAGTTCCAGTGGAACATATTTAGGCATCTGTACATTTGTCTTTTTTTTTGGACTGGCCTTTTAATAGGAAAGGACTGACTGTTGTAGAGCAGGACAAGCTCAAAAACATTTGACCCAGACTGCATACAGTGGCATAACTTGGAGCATGGTTAAAAAACAAATAGCCCAGCCCTACAAAAATTATCTTAAATGAATAAAAAAGCTTGTCTACTCACTTTTGCTGTGTTGGTGCTCTCATGTAGGCTAATAGTTGACGTATGTTAATAAGGAATCGTAGCTAGCAATGAGTCATGGCATAAGTAGTAATAAAAGGGGTTGAATGAAGACACTGGGGGCACAATTGCTATTTGAGGACCCTATGTGACATCTAAATCATAGCACCCACGCAAATCATATCTGTTTGAATACTTTATTAATGTGAGTGATATACGAAATGTTTTGGACTTACTGAGCTTTTTGATGTGTCATATTAACTAAATATATTAAAAATGCACTCTCTGGGCCCCTTGGTGGCTTAGGGGCCTTAAGCAACTATTTATACTGCTTATAACTAAAAACAATCCTGGCTACAGTCCCCAGTGTGACTGCCCCTCCTCTACCATCAATAGTTACACCACTGACTACATATACAGGCTGCATATAGGCCACTTTCGAATAGCTGAGCGAAAATCCTTTGATTTGGCCTAAACTGTTAGTCTGCCGATATATTTTATGAAGACTAGAGATGATTAAAAATCAAGGAAAACAGACAGACTATTCGGATGGAGTAGTCTTTGAGATGTGGCTCCCTCTAGTGTCAGTCCATGGCATAACTGCCCACTTACAATCAGCTGTCTATCCCTGCTTGTCGGTTTGATTAATCCTTTGCAGTCCAGTGAAATAATGTCCCTCCAGGGCTGTGGTTATTATGATTGGCCCCATGAGGTTTAAATCTTTGGCGTTTAGCTGCTGGCGTTAAATATTTTTACGATACAAAGCATGTTAAAGCTAGCAAAGTTTTCCCTGAACGTATCACACCATGATGAGTGCGCTACATCAATGACAAAGGTTTTGGATGCTTGTTTCTCAAGTGCTTTTACACTGTATAAGCTGTTAGGCATGTGTTATTTTGGATTAGATACTGATTACAATCCAACAGATTCAAGATTTAGTCTGTCTGAGCTTGACGACTAGGGCACTTCCATAGAAGGCTTGGAGGACACAAAATTTGGCCCATAAGGGTTTTCTTTGGTTACATATCTCATATGATTGCAGAATGTAAGATGATGAACACAACGACAAATGTAGAACTGGTTCCTACTTTCCTGACAGTTAGGAAGAAAGCACTACAAGGAGCGTGGAAAAAAAACCTTGCTACAGACGCTACAGCTTCATGTTCACGAGCCCCACAGAGATGTTTTTGTGTTGGGGTTGGGGGGAGGTGTCGTAGGGGTTCGAAGCACGCACAGGTGTGCATGTGTGACGTCACAACACCTGTGCTGGTCTCCGCGGGCCACCCCTTCGGACAACAGTGCTTAGATTGACGTGACGTCACACGCCTCAAATCACACATCGAGAAGAACAAAAGAACAAAAACAAAGTCACTCTGAGGTGGACTCAGCGTCCAGTCAGTGATGAGGAGAAGGTCCGTGAAACCAACCAATCACATCGAAGGAGAATGAACGTGAAATAGGGGCGCGTGTACGACCAATGGTTTGAGAGTAACACTTCTTTTTTTTTTTGGTTGTTTTTTTCTGTTTTGCAGTATGTCAGACATAAACGAAGTCTTAAATACGCGTCAAAGAAGTCTTTGGTTTGTTTGTTTTTCTTTGGATATTATAAATATCAGTACTGTACAAGTTTTAAGGGCAAAAAAACAAAAAAAACAAAACACGCTGTCCAGAAGGTCTCTGGTTCTTAAGTTTTAAAGCTTTTCCACCGAAGGTTTTAAAGTCAGTCTGCAGCCGGTAACTCCGTCACGCTTTGGTACAAGTGCTGGAGGAGGAGTTGGCGGAGTTGGAGCTGCCGTCATCCAGCCACTTATCGAGGCTCCGCCGGCGCGCGTTCATGAAGAAGTTGCTGACCGTGGCGAGCTCCAGGCCCAGCTGCTGAGAGATAGTGATTTGTAACTCTTTGGACGGGCGCTTGTTCTCTTTGAATATTGCATGTAAAGTCCGTCGCTGGACGTCAGTGAAGACCAGCCGGGGCTTCTTCGACACGCTCCCGCGCTCGCCCTTGCCCTGCTCCTGCTCCTTCCTTTTGCACGCTGAAACAAAAGCCAAACAGAGAGAAAAACGTGTGTTAGATTTCGACCTGATGCATCTTGAGATACTTACAGAACTTGAGATGGTTGCGTGATGAATGACGTCATGGTCGCCTGGAGTTTACAATCAGAAATCTATGCCATATGCAACTATTCGTCATGTGCATTCTCCTCTTACCACAAGGTTCCTTTTACTTTTGGTTCCCTTAAAAGGACAGAGAACCATTTCTTTGAATGAGATTTGGAAGAACCTTTTTTGGGTCAGTTTTCTAGACCGACACTGGCAAAAAGGTGCTTTAACTTGTAATAATAGAGGAACCTTTTTGGTACCCTAAAAAGCCTTTCAGTGAACGACTTCTTAGAGAACCATTGTTGTAAATGAGGTGTGTGAATGGGAAGAACCTTTTTAGGGTCTGTTTGGTCCTACATGGAACCACTTTTGCTTCCCTAAAAGCTCAAAAATTGTTCTTTGGTTCTATGTAGAACTGTTGTGTTTACTAAAGAACCCTTGATGAACCCCCTTTTTAAAAGGGTGTAGAATAAGCCTAAGTCTAGACTCAGAAGAATTTCCAAGGTTGATTCACCACTGGAATGGCAGTTAGTCTGAGGCTAAGCTTGGCTTAATCCATGATCCAGGTTCAACCCAGAAAGTTTAAAGAGCTTCCTCTTTTCCATAAGACATTTACATAATGTTAAGGTTCTTTAAACCTTTAAAAGCCTTTCTTTTTCTGATATAAGAATCTCAAAGAACCCTTTGTGACACATTTTCTTTAAAAAATGTGCTTATATTGCTGGTTCTTGTCTTGGATGTGCAGTTTGAGGTAAAATCTCAGTTGGTGTAGCTCTTCAAAGTTGCACATCTCATTTACAAAAATGCTTCTTTAGAGTCACAGAAGAACCTCTTTTGGTTTCCTAAAGAACCTCCAGAGCAGGGGTGCTCATACATTTTGCCTTGGTGTGCCAAAGAGCAATGTTTGTGGTGGCCTGAGACCTGAGTTTTTAAAAATATATTTTATATTACACCATATTTTCTACATAAGTACAATGTAAAAGGAAAGTAGAAGTCTAATAAGTCCCAGTATACAGTATAAAAATATGTTTTCTCATTGTGTGAGGGGGTGGGGTTAGGGGAACATTCTGGCTGGCCAAATCAAACATGGGCAACCTTTTTAGTAAATCTGTAGGCCTATTTGTTTTCCTTGCAAGAACCTCTAATGTCTATATTTGTGTTAATGAGAATGTGAACCATGAGAACCATTGTTGTTCATTGAGATATGCTTGGCCTGATGTAGTGGTTGACTAGTTGCTAGCAAAACTAGCATAATTTCAACAGCTTCCAAAGTGTGTATTCTTGAAAATAAAGGTGCCAAATAGAAAAAAACACATTTGATTCCCTAAAGCAGAGTAGAAGCTATTTGAATGCATTGAATTAAACTGACTGATTTAGTGTTTTAGTTACGTTCCTCTCTGCTAGCTATGCTAGTTTTGCTAACAACTAGTCACTCGCTACATCAGACTCGACTACACCACTGCTTATAATACCAGCTTTGCCTGGATCAATAACAGTGGTACATTCTCATAGACATACACATAGACATTAGAGGTTCTCAGAGGGGTCCCTAAGAATTACAAAGCCTGTGAATGTCACAGCTTTACAGAACACTAATACAGACTTTCTAAAAAAGTCTCCTTCTCTGCTCATTTTATGACACAAAATGATATAAAACGATTGACTGTGAAGTGACTTTTGGACTAAACTACGATTAAACACATCAAGGAAACAGTATAAAAAATAGTGATGCAATATTCAATATTCCAATTCCCAATTTCATCATGGAGATGGAACAAAAATGGAGCAAGAAAACAGTGAAGTGTACGGAGCAGAGGTGACACAGGTGCAGGATTAGGACTGAGAATTTTAGATGCCCACTTATTGTGAGAAAACTATCCATGCTTCTGAATCTCCAGCCTTACTCGCTGATGATGACATAAAACAAGATCATAAAAGTATTAACAGGGCATAAATGATGGAAAACAAGCAATTAATGAAATTTAAAGCCTATTGGTTCCATCTTACAGGGCCTAAAGAATGATTTATACTGCCTGATGTGCAGTTCTGGATACGGCCACAGGAGGGCAGTCATAGACTGATATGAAGAGGACACAATGTTGTAATGAGTGCAGGAGAAGAAAGAAATCAAGGCTGCAGGTGTGTCTTTAAACCAAACAACACTATGCACATTGGGTATTCTGTGTCTGCTCAGGTACAGTGTTTGTACACCACCTTTTGCAGTGCATTGTGGGACTGTAAGAATGAACTGGTCTCTACTGTGTATTTTTGACCGCTACAAAATGGCAGACCCCCAAAATGACGCACTATATAGAGAATAGGGAATGTTTTTGGACATAAGCTCAGATTCAGGCTTAAACTTAGACTAAGATTCAGAGTTAGACTTAGACTCAGACTTAGACACAGCCAAACTCAAATTCATATTTAGACTAATTTACACAGTCTCAGGTTCAGACTTAGATTCAGACTTAGACTTACACAGAGATTTAGACTTAGACACAGCCACACTCAAATTCAGACTTAGACTTAGACTAACTTACACTCAGTCTAAGGTTCAGACTTAGACTTTGATTCAGGCTTAGACTCAGAAACAGACACACTCAGACTCAGGCTTAAACTTAGACCGACTTACACTCAGTCTCAGATTCAAACCTAGACTTAGACTCAGACATAGACTTGCTCTCAGAGAAATATCAGACTTAGATTCAGACTTAGACATAGTCACACTCAGATTCAGACTTAGAGTTAGACATAGACTTAGATTTGAACTCAGTCTTAGGCATTCCTGTTTTGAAATATTATTTTCTCTAAATGACCACAAACGCTGTTTTACTAATGATGACCTTTAAAATCATATATGACTAAAAATGAATTCCCTATCAGTGATTTAATGGATATTAAATTAATCTGAATTCATTATCTGTGTTAGGAATAAAGTATGAATAAACAAATGAAGAATGAAAAAACAAGCAAACAAATAGAGCTGATTTACACTAAGTTCACACACTGATGTGGGTGTTAGAGGCTCCCCTGTGGAGCTGATCCTCAGGCAGGTCTCTGGTGACTCTGTCGCTCTGAGTGTGGAGATATTTCTCTGAGAGCAGCTCTGATAAAGTGATAAATGAAGTAAATGAAGGTCTGACTGAGACTCAGCTGGCTGAATATTAACACAGAGCAGCTTTATTTCACCAAACACCACCGTCCACCATCACTGATACTGCTCACCTGCTAATCATTTACACAGAGCACTGATAACAGGGCCCAACCTCACATTACAGAGAGAGAGAGAGAGACATTGACACCTTGTCTTGGCTCCAGGCTTTTATTTTATGTGTTCTATTTTAAAATGTAATGTTATGAAGGTTTTTTTAAGGTGTACTGTTGGACCTTAGAGCCACTGCTGTACCTTTAAGGTTGTGTTTACACTGTTTTTACCTTCAGGTACTACAATGTACCTAGGCAGCTTTTTTCACTATCGACAAAACTGTGAAGTAAAACTGACAGATTTAAACTGAAGATTTAATAAAAATATAAAATCACTACAAACTTTGAGTGTTTACATTCATACACATTCATACAACACACACACAAACACACACACACACACACACACACAAACACACACACACACACAAACACACACACAAACACACACACACACACACAAACACACACACAAACACAGACATGCATACATACAGACACTCACCCACATGCACTCACACATTCACATACACACACAAACACGCACACACACACATACACTCATACATACACACTTGCACACATAAATTCACACACACAAACACACACACACTCACAAACATTCACACACATACCTCCCCACACACATACAGACTAAAGCTCAAACACACACGTGCAAAATTTTCCGAGTGATCAAATTAAACAACTAAGGCAAATAAATATATAAATAAATAAATAAATAAATAAATAAATAAGTAAGTAAGTGTAACAGTCTGTGTATTCAGCCCGTTATAACTACAGCGCCAAGATCTGTACACATTTTCATGTTTCATATTCCTGTAAAAATACATGTAAATGAATGTAACATAATTCCGTTACTGATAATTATAAACTGACTCTGTTCGTATGTCGCGAGTCTCCGTGTTGTTTTTTTTTATATAAATGTTAAAATGATATTTATATCATAATGTTTGTGAAACGCGCTCGTGTTTGGGTCACCTGATCCGCTTCGGGTTATTTCTAAAAACACACACATGAATATGATTATGAAGAAGAGCTGCTGGATGAAGAGATTAATCTCCATCACTCAGAGCAGATAAACTGATATTCACACCCGACTGAACACATTTAAAACAACTATAAACGAGAATAAACGAGAAAAGCCGGACACTGACCCTCAGACTGAGCTGAGTGAGGAGTGTGAAACTGTGTGAGACGGACTGAGCTGATCCGCGTGCTGAGCGGGAATCTGAATAATCGATATTTAAGAGCGGATCAATAAAAGCTGCTGCTTTATTCTACACTCTCATTATTAAACACACAAACAATAAAACAGCACCATCTCAACACACACACACACACAAACACACACAAACACACACTTCATCACTGCAGCTGCACTCATTAATATTTACACACAGTTATTATAATAACACATTCACATATTTACTGTTTAGTTATATATCTGTAATGGATATATTTTAATTATACAAAATAATAATAAATAATTATAATAATTAATGTACATATTATATATAATGATGTTCATATAAAGATGAATCATAAATTATTATTATTATTCGATATCGTACATTAATCGATTTATATATTATATATTTATAATATAGATATAAATATAAAACTACACACACACATTGGGAAAAAACACACACACACATATATATATATATATATATATATATATATATATATATATATATAAGAACACAGTTTTAATGTCTTATTATCATAAATCTGTGCTGTATTTCTAGATTGTATTTCTTTTATATGTTATTATATTATTATTTTGAATATTATTGGAGTTTTATTTGAGCATATCTTATACATTTTAACGAAAAACAGGAGTTTCTACAATAACTTCATCCATTTTATTATAACAGCACGTGCGATGAATATACATTAGAGAACTGATCGATATTAATTATGAAACAAACGAAAATAAAAACAACAACGAAAGAAAGAAAGAAAACAAAACATCTCATAACTCTAATACATAAACACGTGCTAGATGCGCCGAGTTCTAGAGCTAAACTGCTGATTAATGGAGGTAAATAAATAAATAAATAAATAAATAAAGTATTTAGGTCATTATAATAAGCGCGAGCGCTCTGTGGACTTTCACCACATAATTACAAGGAAATGGAGATAAAACTCTCTGAGATAATCCGGCCTTAAATATCTAATACAGCTCTCCTCGTTTTAAACAACAAACTATTATTATTATTATTATTATTATTATTATTATTATTATCGCTGCCGTGGTTGTTTTTGATAACTCACTTATTCATTTTACAGTCAGTCTACTTGCTGTGCCCCCCCAATTCTCGCGAGACACATTAAAGGAGCCCCAATTAATTAACTAATTAATTAATGAGCAAAAAGCTCATCCTGAGGTTATAACGCTCTGAAACAAAACCATAAGACTCTAGTCGGAGCATAAAGACACAGCTGCAGCACACACACACACACATACACACACACACACACATACACACACACACACGCGCGCCCCCGCGCGCGCTATCCTTCAATACAACGCAAATAAAGTACTGTTTCAAAGTAAAAATGACAAAAATGCTGCAAATGGTTCAAATTTTCAGCCACTTTTTAAATGTTTTACCAGCTTTTACAGTGACGTTCAGGTCAGTCACGATGTGAACATGTTCCTATCTCACTTCTAGAGCTCCAGACTCACACATTTAAACCACAATATTGGGGGAAAAACCAGACATGAACAACTAAAGTCTGCTCTTTATGGTCCAGGAATCCACTTAAACACCAAAACAAGCAAGCGGTCCAACACAGCTGGTGCCTAAAGGCAAGAAACAGCAACACCTGAACACCCAGATCACCATTTTTAACAATAATGGACATGATTTTCAAGGATAGCCCATAAAAGCCTGCACATATTTCTATAAAGCTCCCATTCTGAGCCATAGGGTGCCTCCCTGGAGCCCAAAAGAGGACAACAGAGCTCAGGGTGAGGACAAAGAGAGGAGTGCTAATAAAGAAAAGCTGCAGAAATCCACACAAAGCATTGACACACACACAACTTCTGCAGCCCTGAAAAAGGAATGCAGGAGCAAGCAGCAAGGAGATGAGGAGCAGATGAAGCAGATGGATAAATGTGAAGGAATAGAAGTAAAAAATAGGGCTCCATTACCTATTGCGGGCTCACCTGCGAGGCGCAGCGCAGACATCCTCTGGAACTCGGGCTCCTGGAGCCACTTCCACATCCTGCGGAAGGTCTCACGGCCTGACTTGAGCTTGCTCCAGGGCTTGGGGTTGCGGAGCAGGTCGGACAGGGTCCCCTGGGATCGGCACAGCACCCTCTGGGCGAAGATGGCCTGCGGGATGCTGTAGCGCTTCAGCTCTGTGGTGATCCTCTGCGCCACTTCTTTGGTGTTGACCTCCTCCACTGGTCCAGGGGTGCCTGGAGCTCCACCAGAGCCCACCTGCGCCCCACCAAGGGGCTCCCGGGTGGACCCAAGGGCGGAGGCGTGTCCTGGGGCACCCAGGTGGGCATGAGGGTGGTGGGGGTGATGATGTGGGTGGTGGTGGTGGTGGAGCCCATTGAGTTGGACCATGCCCGCCGCCGCCACAGCCGCTGATGGGCTGACGTGCTGGTCTCCATGTCTGGCCAGCACGGCAGGATGGTGAGCTGCCTCGAAGCCATTGGGTGCCAGCATCTTGTCGGCGCCTGGGTGGGCATAAGGTGGAGGCGGAAGGCCCTGCTGGGCACTGTGGAGCCCACTGAGCCCGGAACCGGCCAGAGGAGACAAGCTCTGGCCCATGCCAACATCCTTGTGGTACGGCGCATAGAGGTTGTTCATGGAAGCCAAAGCCCGGTCATCCCGCATCAGGGTGAAGCTCCCGCTGACATTGCCTGGGATCCGCTGGTGCGGGTGAGGGGGAGGCGGTGGCGGAGGAGGGTGATGGTGATGGTGGTGGTGGTGGTGGTGATGGTGGTGAGGGAACTTGTCCGAGACGGTGGAGATGGGGGGTAAGGGCTGCAGGGGGGTAAGGGTGGTGTATGTGCTGCTCATGCTCATCCCAGGAGGAGCCTCGCAAGCCATGGTCATGGCAGCGTGAAGGTGGCTGGCCAGCCCTTGCTGCTGCTGCTGCTGAGCTTGATTCTGCTGGCTGTGGTGTTGGTGTGGATGTTGGTGTTGGTGCTGTTGGTGGTGGAAGTCGCCGCCCTCCATGACCAGGGGGCGGCCCCCCCCACGGTGGGTCCGCTCGCCCGGCAGCAGGTCCGGATCATGGCTCAGGTCGCCCATGTTCTCCATCGACAGCTGAGCGTTCATGGCGCGCTGGAGCTTGCGGACGAACCATCTAGTATGTCAACGGTGAGGAGCAAAAGAAAAAAAAAAACAAAAACAAAAACAAAAAAGGGGGGCGTCCACAGAAGAAGAGGATGATGTAGAAGATGATGAAGAAGAAGTCCTCACATGCGGTACAAGTTCTCGTGGTTCTTAGTTGCTGTTGGTATTTTTATTTATTTATTTTTTAATTATTTCTGAGTTCCCTTTATGGAGTAGCCTGTATAATAAAATGTTCAGAGTATATATAGATGCAAAAGAAGGTGTTGATTTTTCCCCTCAGTGTATTCTCCGATCGCTTTGGTCGTAAAAAAAATAGCAAAATAAACAAAAATAAAATAATTTTAAGGCCCCCGTCCGTTCAGCAGCGCGTGATCGGCCGTGCTGTCCGTCCCTGTCCACTCCTCTCCGTCTTTAGCCATGGCTGCTGCTGCTCTCTCCGTTTCTTCTGCCCAACTGCCACAGCTCTGCGGCTCTCCCGCACCGCGCATGCGCACTCCAGACCAGCCTACCCCACCTCCCCGACTATTCCACCCCACCCCCCGCCTCTGACGTCACTTATTAAGGAAGTTACCCCAAACGCTATAAAGCAGAGTATCCACACCAATTACACTGCCATGCGCCCAGTTCATATGTAAACAAGTGTTAATTATAGCAGAGGCTTTTACGTGTTAACACTTCGCCTTAAAGGGCCCATATCCTACATTTTGCTTTCATATTATTATATTTATTTTTGGTTATTTTACTTACTATTGGACGTCCACTTATATGATGTTTTTATGTATATTAAAAAAAAAATCAATAATTTTTACATGACCATTTTCAACCTCTCTGTGTGCCTTGTGGAATTATGTAAATGACCTCACTTCTGATTGGCTCCCTCATATGGAACCTTAGTTATAGCTGCAACCTTCCTTCATGCTGTTTTTAACGCTGATTTATGCAAATGTGCTATGTTCTGATTGGCTGCCCTCATTCAAAAAGCAGTCCAGGCTGAAACACTCCTCATAACTTCAGCCTGAGTGGGCGGATCTACACTGCTGTAGGACCTATAAGGTTTTTGTGACATCACAGAAACTGCGAATTCAGCGTTAACAATAGAAGATTTATATTGTTATATTGTACATCCAGCACATCAGTCTGAAGAACCATTTTACCATTCAGAGAACCATTTAAACATGAAATGGTGCTAGAAACACTATTTAAAAAGACAGTTCTTCAGGGGTTCTTTAGTAAAGAGACTGGTTCTATTTACTATATAGAACCATTTGCATTCTTAAATGGTTCTTTGCATGATGAGCCGATGGAGAATGTGTCGTACATCGTTCTATATAGAACTTTTTTAAAAATGGCTCTACAGCACCAAACAGTGTTCTTCTGTTGTTATGATGTCAGGCTTGAAGAACCATTTCAACATGCAGTGAACCAATTAGGCATGAATTGGTTCTATAAATACTCTTACAAAAGATGGTTTTTCAAGGGTTCCTTAGTAAAGAAAATGGTTTTGTTTACTATGTAGAACCATTTGCATGCTTAAATGGTTCTTTGCATGGCAAAATCGTTCTTCAGATTGATGGAGAATGTGTCATATATGGTTCTATATGAAACCATTTTGAAAATGGTTCTACAGCACCAAAAAGGTTCTTCAAGTGTTACAATGTCAAGCTTGAATAACAATTTCACCATGCACAGAACGAATAAAACATGAAATGGTTCTATAAACACTCTTAAAAAGAAGGTTCTTCAAGGATTCTTTAGTAAAGAGAATGGTTCTATTTACTATGAAGAACCATGCTTAAATGGTTCTTTGCATGGTGAAATAGTTCTTCAGTCTGATGGAGCATTTGTCGTATATGGTTCTATATGAAACTTTTATGAAAATAGTTCTAAAGCACCAAAAAGGGTTCTTCTATTGTTATTATCAACATGCAAAGAACTATTTAAGCATGGAAATGGTTGAATATAGAGCTCATGGTTCTAAATAGAACCATTCCCTTTACTAAAGAACCACATTTTTAAGAGTGTAACATTAACATTAATACAGGAGTAGTTTGAGAGAGCAGCCTATCAGCAGCCCTCACACTAAAGCGAACATGTTCTCCTGTTCTCTCCTCGTTTCATCTCTCCAGCACTCACATGTGCTCTTTAAATGAGATATGGATTAGTGGAGGGCGTTTGCTGCACCGGCTGAAGCGCGAGGCTGCGGGGGCAGATCGTTTTCGCGCGCGGGTAAGTGGGGCAGATGTGCCCATTGTTGGGTTATTAGCTAAGAGTAACGAACCAAGCTTAGCAGGGGAAACCCCGCCCTCGTGCGCCTACCCACCCATCCGCCCCCCTCCAAACAGCACATTAAAGCTGCTCGAGTGAACTTCATTCAGCACTCACTCATGAATGAGCAGAGGAGGACACGCTTCATGAAAAACGCCCGTTTATCAATATCAAAGAATCGCTCTCCTCTGCAAACGACGGCTGATGTTTACATTTACATTACAGACGCGTGTTTTGCGCGCGGTTTTCTGATATCTCTTGTGATACCATTTTCCGGGCCTGATGAGTTTTGATCTGGTGTAGTTTTATAATTTGGATGAAGAAAAAAAGAAGTGTGCATAGAAAAGTTCATAAAAATGTTATTAGAGATGAAAACATGGGCAAGAGATGCTCTTCAAAAAAGAGGTTCTTTAAGGGTTCTTTAATAAAGGCAGAGATTATATACAGTCTTAGCACAAAAATATATTTCATGATACCAAAAGGTCCAATGAACTTAAAAAAGATGGCTCTTCAAGGGTTTTTAGTAAATGCAATGGTTCTATCCAGCACCATGAGTTCTATGTAGAACCCTTTTGGGTTTGAATGGTTCCTTGTAAGCACACCTAAGAAAAGATGGCATACAAGTGATTCTACACTTGTACTTCAGTAAAGAAAAAGGTTCTATATAGAACCATGAACACTCAAAGAACCCTTTGCATGATTAAAGAGTTATAAAAGTATAACTTATAAAGTGTTCTTCAGATTGATGGTGAATGTGCTGAAGATGGTTCTTTATAGAAACTTTTCAAAAATGGTTCTATATAGCACCAAAAGGGTTCTTCTATTGTTGCAAGCTTGACATTACAACAATAGCAGAACACTTTTTGGTGCTATATGAAAGAACAGTTTCACACACACACAGAACCATTTAAGCATGAAATGGTTCTGTATTAACCTCAAAGATCTAAATAGAATGACTAAAAAACCTTTGAAGAACCATTTTTTTAAGTGTGTAGTATTTTGATCTAGTGTCTTTTGTAACTTGAGAAGAAAAAGTGTGCACAGAAAAAACTGTCAAGAGCATGAGGTTCTCTTCAAAAAAGTTCTGCAAAGGTTCTTTAGTAAAGGCAGAGATTGGGTACAATCTTAGCATAAAGAGTTCTCTATAGTACCAGGTCTTATAACTTGTAACAATAATAACAGAACAATAGATGTTTGTCTGCTATGTAGAAAGGTTCTTTAAAGAACCATACAAAACAGGTTTTCCATCATAGAGGAGAACTATTTAACGCATTCAGAAGATTCTTTGAGTGTCCATGGTTCTATAATGCCATTGTCTTTACTGAAGAACCATGAAACAAACATTTGAATGCTGAAATATATGTGTATGTCTGTGATTACTTAAAGGGCCAATATGATGGAAAACTGAGCTTTTGTTCAATTTTTATTTTAATGAAAGTGTGTGATATGATATGCAAACATTGTTTAAGTTTGTTATACATGGAAACTAAGCTGCAAAAAACAGCCTGTTTTAATATCAAGTTTGTGATGTCACAAAAGCTGACTCATTTACATCTATCTGCTTAACCAGCCAGCAGCAGCTTAGCCCCGCCCAATCACTCTGAAGTTATAAGGAGTGTTTCTGCTTTTTGAATGAGGCTCAGTTGAGGATAGCCAATCAGAACAAAGCTCATTTATGTAAATCAGCCCTAAAGGTGCAGTAACAGAAACAGTCAGTTTAATTCTAAGTGATACAAAATTAACATGAAAATTTTTGGTATATAAACCCAGTCATGAGTGAACTTCAGGAAAAAAATAGCACCCAAGTAAAGTGTAGGATACTGACATGTCAAAGAACCTTTGAAAGGTTCTATGTAACACCAAAAAGTCAAACCTTTTAGAATCATTTCAGCTTAGAGTGTACACAAATATTGTGTATATATGCTTTAAAATGCTTCTTTAAGAGTTCTTCAGTAAAAGCATTGGTAGAACCATGAGCACTGAAAGAACCATTTCAATTGTTCTTTGCATGGTTAAGTGGTTCTGCTTCATGGACCTTTAAAACATATATACTCCTTTTTGCTAAGAACATACACTATAAGAAATTGTTCTTCACAGGTTCTTTAGTAAAGGGAACGGTTCTATTTAGAACCACGAGTACTACATAGAACCGTTTACTTAAATGGTTCTTCAGACTGATGGAGAATGTGTTGTATATGGTTCTATGTAGCGCCACCAAGGGTTTGCTATTGTTACAGCACCTTTTTGGTGCGATATAGAACCATATACAACACATACTCCATCAGTCTGAAGAACTGTTTCACCATGCAGAGAACCATTAAAGCACGCAGATGGCTCTATATCAATCTCATGGTTCTGAACAGAATCATTCCCTTTACTAAGGATCTCTTGAAGAACCTCTTGAAGGTTTGAACAACAGCCGGTAGCTAAATGCTTAGCGGTTGCTGTTCATTAGTGGTAATTAGCGAACTTACTGGGGCGGATGGCGCATGCGCGGTGGGCCGGCTGGGTGACAGCTTGGCGCGGTGAGTGTTGGGGCCTCCATCACTTTACCCCCCCACCCCCTTTACTCCGGGACCCCCAACTCTGCCACATGTCAAAGGTGAAGCTTCAAGACTCGTGAAGCCAACAGCTGCTCGCGGGATGGGGGGGCAGATTAACTTTTGGAGAGTTTTTTGTGGTTTGTTAGGGACCTGCTCACATCTGTTAGGGTCAGCAACAATGACCATGGCTTTAACGAGTTAAATAAAGTTAAACTGTCACTAATTATAAGTCAGCGCCGACTGTTTTCTGGAGTGTTTGATTGGCTCAGACTGGCACTGTTGGTTAAAGACGAACGTTCTTGATTGGTGGAACAACAAAACACGTAAACATTGTAGGAAAAAAAAACGAACAAGGCGGAGAACAAAGGAAATGCAGCACTCATATTTATTGAAATCATTCCAGCATTCATTTCCATCATCCAATATCACAAAGCAATAAACAATCCATTGTTTTGTGTACACAGGGAAGGCGGAGGCGGCCCGGATGGACGGATGAGGATGAGTGTGAGGTAAATGTGATATTCAGGCAGGAAATTTCAGAGAGCAGCCGCATCTGCGCGCATTCTCATACTGGTCGATATTTCTCATTCACACTCGAGCCTCCATGACGCGAAAGGGTGTGTGTGTGTGTGTGTGTGTGTGTGTTGGGGCCTGCTCAGGCGGTTCTGATCGAAGCTCCTCTCCTCTCCGAGCTGTTTTAACCTGCAGGCCTAAAAAAGGTAAAAGCTTCAGATCTGTTATTAATGAGGGTGGAATAAGAATATAATTCAAAACATGAAATATTAAATATTAAAAAGCTCAAGACACAGGCCTAAAAGAGTAGTGCATGATAAGGCAAGGCTCCTGTACCTGTATAACAGCCTAGATGCACTTTATTAATTTTTTAAACTGAAATTTACAATTCTTTAAATTTTTGAAAATTTAAGTCTACTATAATACTTCAAATTCTAATGCAGATATTGAAAGAATACAATGTCTAACTAGTTAGTTGTGGCACGTGATTAAATATGGTGGCATTAAATAAATAAATAAATAAATAAATAAATAAATTCTTTCTTTAACTTCTTAAAATTTAATTTTTAATTCTAATACAGCTGCATTTGTGCCCCTCACTAGAGCTTATGATGGTGGCATAAAACATGACTCTACAAATCTATAGTTTTTATTATTTTTCATTTCTTGCCCTGAAATTTGCTTCAAATTTTTGAAAATTTCAGCCTAAATCTGAAATTTCCCCAATCCCATTACATCTAATGCTCCTCTCAAAACAGACATAGTTACAAGCCTTTTTTATATGGGTAGCAGAAGATAAAGAAGATAAGATAGTTTACAGTTTCGTGCAAAAAAAAAAAAATACTGGTATTTTTATTGATGGTTTTGGGCTGGGTTCCAGATTTAAACCCTGCAGAGAACACTGGTCTCACATTACACACAAACTTGCTTGGCAGTGTATTTCATCTGCTGAGTGAAACAATATTGACTCTTCTTTCTGTAAAAGACCGTCTGCAGGTTTAATCCACAAAGCTTCAACATTTAAAGACAATCAAAGGAAAAGCTCTCCCACACTAACTTGCTTAAATTCTTGCCAATTTATTGAGAAGTAATCTGTTGTTAAGACTTTTAAAAACTTACTGTTTAGCCACTTTCTGCGTTAATTTTTTCAAACTCAAAGGCCTGGAAAAGCGTCAGACAAGGCTAATTTTCCAGTATGTCAGCTTAAACTGAACTTTTCCAATTGTATCTATCTAATATATATATATATATATATATATATATATATATATATATATAGTTATTCGATCATTTAAAGCCTGTTCTCCGCTTGTTTCTGTATGAGCTGGAGCAGAGCTGGTCTGAAACTGAATCAGAGGCGACTGAACGCTTCAGACACCAGCAGTTCCGGGGCGATCAATGAGACGGTGACACATTAAAGCATTAAAACCAGACCGCTCTGAATACCTGCGTTTATCTCTCACCAACTCAGGCATTAAGAGCAGAGGAGAACGTGGGAGAACATTGGAGAACACTGACTAGACATACGAGGTTATCCTGGTCAGCTTTTTCACACTGAAAAGTGGAGAACGATGCGTTAAAATAACACCTTCATAAATGACCTGTTCATCGGTGTATTTGTTTGTGTTTTAATACAGCTAACGGAATGAAACGAAAGTAAAATTAAATTACATGTGAAGTTTGATGCTGTGAATAACGAATATTTACACCATGCCAATCTGCTGTTTACACTAAAGTTATTTATGAATTGTTCATATGTGCTGTATGTTCTACAATAAATATCGTACCTCTTAAAAATAGATTTACTCATTGATTTATTCAATATTTTATCGCTGAAAAAAGGCGTTTAAAATGACGGAACATTTTCTGGCGTCAGGAAAAATAGAAATCCTTATTTCCTTTTATCCTACGCGGTCATCTTCCTCCTCCTCCTCCTCCTTCTCATTTCCGAAGACAAGCCTACTGAATAATAGAATTTAATTATATAAATAAAATTATATAAATCACAAATATTTAAAATCAAACCGTAATATTGTCACATTTTCGTTAGCGATTAACAGTGCGCTCAAATATCATCAATATATAATAAGATATTTTATTAGTCAGCTCTTGAGACGGTAGTTAATATGTAGAAAATAATAATTTAAATGTTTAAATGACATTCAGACTTGAAAAATATTAAATTTTAAATTAAAAACCGCATTCTTAAAATTGCGACTGATTTTAGAGGAAAAGAAAAGAGAAGAAAAGGAAAAAACATTCGTGTGTGTGTGTGTGTGTGTGTGTGTGTTGGGGGGGTCTTGGAGAGTGATGTATGCACCAATCGATAGTAGACTACATTATCCTGATCAATGAGTTTAAGCTGAAAGGAGAGTTTAAAGACACAATTCCAGCCACACTTCAGATCGGCTAAGTAGACTAACTTAATAGATCCATTGATCGCTAATTGACGGTTTGTGGAAGTTTGATGATAGTTTTCTTTTAACGTAGTGTAAACGACCCACAAACAAAAACATTCAACACCGTTCAGTATATTCTCATATCAATCAGCAGTGCTCTCAAATAAAGAGTAAAAGTATTAATACGCTGAAAAAAATGGTTACAAAAATGTGCTACATCAAGAAAATTGCTATTGAGCAATTATTGCTTTGATGTAAGGTATTTTATACATATACATATTCATATATATATATATATATATATATATATATATATATGAGATATTTTCCAGTCACTGTACCTGAGTTTGGCCTGTATGTCAAAGAGTTGAATCCAAAATAGCACAGATAAGGCACTGTTTGCTTTTCCCAAAGTCAGTTAATTCAAATTTAGCAACCTTTGCTCAATGCAAATACACACAGACTGACTGAGCCTTCCGGCCTTTAGCATTCCTGTGTTTAAAAGAGCAGATCACACTGCGCTGCGGAGTTCAGGCTCAGCACTGACCAGCCATGACACATCGGGTAAGAAAAAGTTATTCATACAGTTGTGTGTGGTCTGTAATCTGTAAGACTTTTGGAAAATTATAATCTTAAAAAACTGTGAAAATTAGTGTGATCTGGTTTAAATAATCTGACATAATGTTAATGAGTGACACAGCCACAAAGATTTTGATGGATCTAAACTACCTTCAGACTGGTGGGTGAGATCTATAATGAGCCCCTGTTATAGGCCTACAGAGTGGACACTAAAACATGATGTGAGCTATAATGAGCCTGAAGAGCACAGAGCGAAATCCCCATAGCTGAAAGGATTATCCCATACAGTGCTGGATTAGTTCTTACAGGATAGGTTTCCTGGTCAGGGATTAAGCCTGGTCCTGGACTGCTGTTGGATTTCTTTTCTTATGGAGGGATTCCATTCAGAAGTCTGTGCAGGACTAGGCTAAATCCTGTCTGGGAAAGTGACCCATAGTGTTAATGGATAAGGCCTAGTATTGGAATAAATTGCAGTTACTTGCTTAAATTGCTTAGGTTTAATCTGGGCCTGTGAAACTGGTCCACAGTTTCTGTATCAATCCACACAGATAAACTAAGCATTACATTCATTCAGCACTGTAACAGGTCACTCCACACTGGGGATTTTTGGTATTCAAGGCCAAATAACATAACAGTGGAAGGTAAAACAAACCCATCACCTTCAGCAGCTGGACACAGATGAAACACTGTAAGAGGAAGTTCCGTATGTGTTGGATGTTAACACTGAACTCAACACTGTAAGTGTTGGCGCTGATTTTGCTGTGTATCTACTCAGCCTGCAAAACTGACCGAGCCATTAACACGTATCAGGAAAAGATCTACACAGATATGAGGCCTGTGCTGAGGAGCTTTACAGTTATGGTTGAGGTTTAAGTGATCAAAGCGAAGAAGAAAATAATAACCTCTCCTGGTGAACATAATGCACCACAGATGATGTTTCAGCCAGAGAACATGATACCACATCAGCCCAGCTCAGTGCTCAGATATAACATGTATGAATAAGTTATGTAATATAGCATATATGGAATATATTGTGTGTGAAAGTAACAATTTGGCACATAAATATTGTATATTAAACATCATTAAGAAATACATTTACACAGTTAAGTGCTATATGAATAAGCTATTTACTTATATAGTAATCTAGTAAATAAAAAATATAGCATTATTATAGGGTAACAAAGTATATATGGTGTATGAGTGCTAACAAAGATTAAGGAATATACAGAAAAAAGTACATTGTTAATAATATAAAACTAAATCGTAATAATGCAGTAAAATATGTGATGACATAGTAATAATGCATTAATATGCATGCAGTAATAATGCAGCGCAATAGAAATAAAGCATATCGATACGCCATATAGTGATATAGTAATATAACCTGTGTAATTAAATAGTAATGTAGCTTATGAGTGCATTAAATGTTCATGTATAACATATGAATTAGGCATATAGTGTTATAGTAATAGCTTATAAATAAGGTAAATGCTGATAAGTCATATATAAGTAAGGCATATAATGTGATATATAGCACATGAATAAGCTATTACTTAAATAGTGATATAGCATATGAATACGCTGTCATGGCATAGTAGTGTAGTGATGTAATTATCTAGTAATAATACAACATATATTACGAACATAAAGAAAGTAACAGCGCATGAATAAGGCATATACTGATACAGTCATAAAGCATGTGAATAAGCTAAATACTGATATATAACATGAACAAGGCATGTAGTGATCTAGTAATATGGCAGAAAAGTAGGTAAATATTGATAGAGTAAAGTAGCATGTAAGTATGGTACATAATGAGTGATATTGCAAAGTAGCCATAAAACATAAGAAAGCATACAGTGATTTAGTACTATTGCATATGAAGAAGGTATATAGTGATAGCATATAAATGAACAATTTGAGTATAAATATTGATACAGTAATATAGCATGTACATTTTCCACATACTGTTATAGCGGTATAGTAATAAAGTAATAAAGTGAAATAGTGATAAACCACATGAAGAAAAGACAGAGCGATATTTGAGTATTTCATATGAAGAATGTATATGTTGACATAGTAATATATCATATAAATTGAGAATTTGAATATACTTATTAATATGGTAATATGGTATATAAATATGGTATACAATGCTGAAATATGGTAAAATAATGATATAGTGATAAAGGCATACAGTGATATAGTACTGTTGCATAGGAAGCTGGTATATAATCACAATAATAAATGGAGGATTTGAATGTAAATATTAATATAGTAATATGTCATGTAAATATGGCATTTAAAGATAGTAATGTAGTAAAATAGTGATAAAACATGAAGAAGACAGTGATATAGTACTGATGCGCATTATTACTAATGTGGTAATATGTCATATAATAAGAGTTTTAACATGAATACTGATATAGTTATATAGCATATGTGTACGGTTTATACTGATGTAGTTTTGTGTCTGTGCTGTCTGAGTGCTGCCTGTGCTCTCGTGGTTCTGTAGCTGCCTCCCCCCACACTCCCTTCAGACCCCCAGACACCCCCACCCCACCCCTCCCTGAGTTTTAAACCTGTCTGCACGTCTCCAGGTCTCTGCAGGGCGCCACATGTCACCGCATCCGTCCAGCGAAAGTACAGCTCGCTCCAGGTCTCTTTCAGCTCCGCGAGCAGCGCGCGCGCCCTATCCTCATAATAACCAGCGCGCGTGCAAAAAAAAGGGAAAAAAAGCAGCCCAGCTCGCAGCTGCGGTCATTACACCGCTTTACAAAGCGATCAGATTCCCTTGATTTTCCTTTTCTCTTTTTTTTGGCCACGCGCTCCATCTCTTGGTGGCCCTGCTCTCCGCTCCTCCTCGCGCTTCTCCTCCTGTGTTTTCTGGTCGCTCCTCGCGCTCCTCCTGAAGCGTCTCTGGCGCCGTTTCCCGGCCGTGTGTGCTCGGCAGCCCTCCGCGCGCTGGAGTGGATCAGCATGCAAATTGGGCTCCACTTTCAATCGAAACCTTCGATCCGCGCGAGCCGGGGCTGAGCGCAGCGCTCGGCAGGACACTGAGCTGAAAAAAAAACAGCCCAAAGAATACATATGCATGTTAAAAACACAGCATTAGCCTGAACGGCGCAGATCAGTCTCACGGTAAACTGCACCATGCATGGAATTATGGGACTTACATTTATTTGTTCATGTTTATTTAGACTACAACCCGCATTAAAAAGCATGAAACATGCGCTCGAGTCAATAAAGATGATATTCATTACTGATAGAGGCTACGATCCTTTGTGGTGCATATATATAAATGCAAAATCAAAAAGCACCAAAACATTATATAATTAAAAAACACATTCATAAACCATATAAGGCAATAAAGCATACATTATACATGAATTCTGACAAAGATTAAGGTATATAAAAAAAACACACTAATAAAGTGTTAATAACGTAACATAACTGAAACAGTACTGGTAATACATTTCAGCGAGATATGTAATGACAGTAATAATGCATGTCATTACAAATTTAATGGCATAATAATATAGTGACATTATGATCATAGTGCCATAGTAATAAAGGCATATATATATATAAGGGACATAGTGATATAGTAATATGACATTTGTAATGACATAGTAATACAGCTTATGAGTGAAGTAAATACTGATATATAACACATGAATACGGCATATAGTGCTATGATAATAGCTCATGAATAAGGCAAACACTGATATATCACGTGAATAAGGCATATACAGTGATATCGTAACCTAGAATATAAATAAAGTAATTTAGCATGTGATTAAATATTGTTTATAGTGCTATAGTAATAAAGCATATGGATTAGGCATATACAGTGCTATAGTAATATAACATTTGTAATTATGCAGTGATATAGTTTCTGAGAGGGGTAAATACTATACGTCTATAACACATAAATACGGCACATACAGTGATATAGTAATGTAGATGAACAGGTTAATACTGAAATATCAAATATTAATAAGGCATATACTGTGAAATAGTAATCTAGAATTTCTAGAAAAGGCAATAAAATCATTTACACACAAATAGTCACTTAAAACACGAAATGGCATTTTTACGATACATATAAGAGCAGTTTTATTATTTAGGGGGATTTTTTTATTTATTCTCTATTTATTAAATTATTATTGGATTGGGTATCAAAATAGTATTTAGTACAACTACAAATAGAACTTCTATTTTTTTTCTTAATGATGATATGATTATATTTTAGTTCTCTCTGAAGGATAAAATCATATTTTATGAGTCTATAACTCAGTTTGGGCCAAAAATTCTTTTAGTTTTCCTTGATCTCCCTTCTTAAACTCAGTCTGATGTAAATAACACCACTGTACTGCGTGGATATTTACCTCACTCCTAATATTTACGTATTCATTTTACGTTTTAACGTTCAATATGAAATCGATACGTATGTGGATATGAGAGTGAGGAGTGAGCGTGTGGACATTAATGGGTTAAAATGGATTTAACAAGAAGGAGTAGCCGCTGAAAATCACCTCTACGCAGCAAAGAGGCCACATCGTGATCAGATATTTTATTGATCTTTTCTTTTTCAGAGGAAAAGCGTTAAAATTCAGAGAGAGAGGAAAAACACAGAGGGAGGAGTTTTACAGGAAAACAACCTCCCAGCAGCGATAAAAGGTAAATAAATTTCACTCCTGATGACTCCATACATGTTTAATCCGTGAGCGCGAGAGAGAAGCAGTCCGTGTTGTGTAGCAGCAGCGCGTGCTGTTCTCAAGCTCTGTTTCTGGTTCTGAAACCGCAGAACACGGAGGACACGCGGGCCTGATGGACTCTTACAGGCTGATGGTTCAGCATGAATAATGAATGAGGAGATGGTGGTGGTGGTTGGGGGGGGTGGGGAGGGCTCTACAGCGCTGAACTACCGGCCTAAAGAGCCTCATCGGCGGCCTGATGGAAGCGATATACAGCCTAACTCTGCACACAAGATGGTTCTTCAAGGGTTCTTTGGTAAAGGGAATGGTTCTACTCAAAATAATAATAAAACATTTAAATTGTGAAATGGTTCATCAGATTGATGGAGAATGTGTTGTATTTGGTTCTATATAGCACCAAAAAGGGTTCTGCTATTGTTATAGTGTCAAGCTTGTAACAATAGAACCCATTTTGGTGTTACATAGGACCATTTTCAAAAAGGTTCTATATAGAACCATAAACAACAAATTCTCCAACAACATGAAGAACCATTTCACCATGCAAAGAAATATTCAAGCATGCAAATAGTTCTTTGAGTGGTCTTGGTTCTATATAGAACCATTGTCATTAACAAAGAACCGTTGAAGAACTTCATTTTAAAAGTGTAGAACCATTTGTATGCTTAAATGGTTCTTTGCATGATGAAATGGTTTTTTAGACTGATGGAGAATGTGTTGTGTATGGTTCTATATAGCACCACAAAAGGTTCTGCTGTTGTTACAATGTCAAGGTTGTAACAGTAGAAGAACCCTCAAAAAGCTTCTATATAGAACCATGAAAAACAAATTCTCCAACAAGCTGAAGAACCATTTCACCATACAAAGAAATATTCAAGCATGTAAATAGTTCTTTGAGTGGTCTTGGTTCTATATAGAACCATTCTCACTACTAAAGACCCCTTGAAGAGCCATCATTTTAAGAGTATAGAACCATTTGTATCCTTAAATTGTTCTTTGCATGGTAAAACATTTTTTCAGACTGATGGAGAATGTGTTATGTATGGTTCTACATAGCACCAAAAAAACATCTGCTATTGTTACATATTAGAAGAAACTCTTTTGGTGCTATATAGATCCATTTTCATTCTCCAGCAATCTGGCATCAATCTTCAAGCATGCAAATGGTTTGTTGAATGTTCATAATTCTACATAGAACCACTCTTGAGAAAACATATTTTATGTAGCACCTTTTTGAAAACGGTTGTGCATAGCACCAAAAATGTTTTTGCTGTTGTTATGATGCCAAGCTTGTACTTATACTTTCACCATTTCACCATACAAAGAACTATTTAAGCCTGCAATGGTTATGTATTGAATACATGGTTCCAAATAGAAAACCTTTGAGGAACCTTTTTAAAGAGTGTATAATTGGGGTGGGGGTGTAGAGGGGGGAATTAAAGTTTAATGTGCTCAATAATGTCTGTTCTCTCTGAATTTTGCTCTCTGGCAAGCAAAAAGCTGCATAACTGAGCTGCAGTGGCTTCTGCTGCTTGTCTGTGAGGGTAAATATGGCTGATGCTAGCTATCAGAAGAGCCATTGTACTGGAGTGTTGACTGAGCTGTGTTTCTGGTTAAATCATTAGCACTGTATCTAAGTGGCAGGCAAACACTACTGCAGCATTTACAGAGTAAAAGTTTTACAATCACAAATCAGTAAAGGTGAAATTCTTACCAATGTTAGAATTCTTTAGATTCTCAACAATAAAACAAGCCAAAGCAAATGGGCTGATATTTTTAGTACAAAATGACTTTAATTTCTCACAATTTGAATAAAATAGAAGCTTTTGAAGGAGCGAAGATGATGATGATGACAGAACTTACAAAACAACACAAATAATTAGTATGTACAGAAAAAATTCAATCTGTTTGATGTATGATATAAACAGAGTGATTCAGAATGGTTTAGTGTGAAATGATTCATTGTACGTACTCACAGTGGTGCTAATAGGGGTCACACAAAATATAGCCACTTTATTCAATTTTACTTTAAAAAGCTATTTTATTTAGTAATGAATCTGATAATGTACGACAGTACTGCATGTTCCTCTCCACCATTAATGGATTATGTAACATGGTTTTATGTAAAAATATGTTTTAGGCTCAAATCTTATGTCCTAACCAACATCAGAGACATCAGGCAGTGTATTCATAACCATTTTAATGTAACAGCTTTCTGTGAGGGAGCTTTGAGAGGTGGATGTCTGGTTCCTTTCACCACCACTGTGAACAGTTCTGACCTTCTGAAGCATTTCATATCAAACCACTCTGATAAACATCTTTACCACTTAATTATTCAGGAATTTTGAAAAATTAGTGGAATTTCCCTTTGATTGAATTATTCTACACATTTTTATTCCATCAAATAGAGTCAGTATACACAGACTGTACTACCTCAGTATAAAATACAGCCTATTTAACACACATGTTCAGTTTTCTGAATGTAGAAATCAGTTAAATTCAATATTTTCCTAAACTGCACTCTATTGAACCTGAAACATGCAGCAGGGCATCTGTGTAAAAGCTGAAAGCAGCAGCCTGTTCAGATCCACACTGAGTGTCTGCGCCTTTCTGTCTTTGTGCTCACACCGAGGGGGTATTTTCTTCTGTAGGAGTCGCAGCACTAATCAATAACCTAGTGCAGTGTTGCAGCCATGCAGAAGCAGCATGTGCGTCGCTTCAGGGAGGCTGCAGCCCAAGCACAGCTCGCTGTATTATGTTGGGACCAAATATGAACAAATGGGCTCCATGAAATTCTGAAGAATTGCCTCTATAGAGCTTTCGCCCCAAAGAGAGGTGAAAATAAATGCTGATTTGGAATGAATTAAAGCCAAATTCATAACAAAGCATCTCTAATAATCTCAATTTACTCAATTTGGAACAAACCCTGTCAACCACAAGCTGGAAAGCACTGCAGCATCTCCATCTCTCTAACCTGAACTCTGTTCTAAACATGGACACACCCTGATATAAATATATTTTCATTTCAGAATTGTAAGACTTCCATGTCCAGGTATTTGTCTGCTGTTGCACTCTATTTAATACCCAAATACAGCATAATAAAACCTTACAGTACTGTGCAGAAATCAGAGACCGCATTTTAACACATTTGATTTCTATCAAAAAGGCCATTAAGTAAAATTCATTCAATTTTCAGCATCAGAAAAAAGCAGAAAACACAAATAACATCATCTTGTTTTGTGTTCAGTGTGTCACGCTTAAGCTTCATCACAGCTTCCATTCTTTTCAGGAGACCCACTTTCAGTTCCTCAAAGAATCTGCAGACACACCTCCAAAGTTCAGTCTTAGAAGTTGGTTGATGATTTTCTGAAGTAATCAAACACATTCAGTGGTGTTGAGGTCTGGACTCTGGGGTGGTCAGTCCATCGTTCAGCTTCTTTGTTTGATGTGTCCGTCTCCTTTTCTCAGTGAGGTTCTTCTTGACAGCTACACATCCTTTCAGACCCACAGCGCTGAGTCGTCTTCTCACAGTGGAAGGATGGACAGAAACACCTGTGGATGTTTTCAGATCTGAAGCAGCTTGATTTTCTCCTCTCTCTCAGAGATGAAAGCTTTAAGTGCTGTTTATCTGATGAGGGCAGTTTTGGTGTCTATCAGGTCTTCCAGGTGGTTGTTAGGAGTCACATTTTCTCTGTAGCCTTTGATAATGTTTTGGGCTCCAGTTTTGGAAACTCCTATTTTTTTCACTTATATATTTTTTTTGACTTCATGTAACAGGACTATCTTATATCCCATGTGCTCCAGAGTGCATTGTGGTGATACATTAGCCAGAAGAGTGCTAACAGGCTACAGGCTACTACTTCTCTGTTAGCTTATGCTAGCTATGCCTTGCATAAATGGGAGAAAAAAATGATCATTCTGTTGCAGACTGAGAGGAACAAAATTGATTCTCGGTCCGAAATTGGATTCTGGCTATAGTGGCTCTAACATGTATGGCTGTAAATGGCTGGACAGAGCATCCATTTTAGGTCATAGTGGTCAAAGCTTGACACTTGAGAAAGACTGTACCTTTCCTGCAATTGGGCGTGGTTTCATTGCCTTTAGTGAACATGCCTCCAGCACTTCAGAGCAGAGAATACTGCTTATTTTTCACAATTTTCTCCTTTTTTATTATACAGCAAATATTTTATCATTTAAATTCGGCTGTGTGGTTAATTACACATTTTTCTGTGGTGTAACAAACTCAGAGCACATATTTATCACTACTTTACCTGGACCCCTGTTCAAGGTTAGAGAAGGGTATAATAAAACTTTGCTGGTGAGCCCTGGCCTTTTAAGGGGTTAAGTATCTGTAGATCATCCATAGGAGACCATCACAAAAAAGTGTGACCAAGTTTTGAGGATGCATTGTCTAAAAAGATTTGGGTGACTGGGTGACTACTAGTGGATTTTCACCATGTTACCCTCATAGCTCCAGTGCTAAATTAAAGAAGCAAAATTTGGACACCAAACATGTCTTGGCTGATTGACTACATTTAGGGTAAGTGAAAAACTGTGCACATCACATTTTCCTCCTGACCATTCCATTAAAGCCAGAAATGTGGAGGTGAGGAAGTAGAGCTAAAGCGGGGGGAGATGAATCTGTTTACTTGCTAAAGCAGCCTGCCGTCCAAAATGTTTAGCGCAGCAGGTCCTTCTATTAACTCCAACAGGGGTCATTACATAAGCAAATTACTACAAGTGTAAATACATCAAGCCAAGTTTTGCTGAGTACACAGATATATGGCTAATATGACCTAACTTCTATAAAACTGTAGTCATATCTACAATAGCTTAGCCAGCTACAACACATAAATCTCTCAGAAAAACACACTGTTGATTATCTATCATCATCATGCAGCCAATAAAAAGGCTAAGCACACCTCGTAGTGACGAGCTAGAGAAAGTGGCCCATCCATTTCCCGTCCCGGGGGGCACAGACGGCCATCCCAGCGGTGCTTCGTCTTCCTGCCTGAGCTTCCTCCTCTTTACACAGTCTGCTAACTGCCCCGGGACAGAGAGGTTGCCTCCTGATTCTGGAATCAAGTTCTAGAACTGTTGTACTCTTAAAAAGATGTTTTTTCAAGATACTTTAGTAAAGATATTGTTTTTATTTAGAA